ATGTCCTTGGCAGGTACCACACCCTCCAAGGCTGGCAACAGGGCACCGCCACTCGGGCCCTGCTAGTGCTTCACTGCTCCCCAAGTGCCCATCCAGCCTTCTCCTGGGCCACTGGAGCCCTGCCTTCTGTCTCTGGACTCTCCTCACACTGAGCTCAGCTCAGGCCTGACCACTCCAGCTGGAGCGGAAACTGTCCCTGGAAGCTTTCCCACCCTCCTGCCCCAGTGACCCATGTGCCCTCTGACCACTGGCACCAGCTTCCTCAAAATAACTACCTTCATATAAGCATGTCCTGCTCCCCCCAATACATTGAGAAGCCCCTTGAGGTAAGTGTGCAACACATGTGGGTGGAGACAATCAGTAACACAGGTGGGGATTGAAGTGGTGGTAGTGGTGGAGGCGGTGCTGGATGACAATGATGGTGGTGAAGGTGATGGTAATAGTGGTAGGGGTGTGTTGATGTGTTTTGTAGAGGTGTTGGTGTTGATGATGAGGGTGTGCTGGTGGTGGTGATGAGAGATGATGGGATGATGGTACTGGTGGAGGTGATGATGGTAATGATGGTGGTGATGGTAGTGAATGTGATGGTGACAGCAGTGGTGTTGGTGTTGATGGTGTTTTATAGAAATGCTGACGGTGATATTTGTGGTGTTGATGGTGGTTGTGTTCATGATGATGGTGATGATGGTGGTGGTGTTGATGGTGATGGTGTTGGTGTTGATGGTGATGGTGGTGTTGATGGTGATGGTGTTGGTGTTGATGGTGATGAGGGTGGTGGTGTTGATGGTGATGGTGTTGATGGTGATGATGGTGGTGGTGTTGATGGTGATGGTGGTGTTAATGGTGATATTGGTGGTGTTGATGGTGGTGGTGTTCATGATGATGGTGATGATGGTGATGGTGTTGGTGTTGATGGTGATGGTGGTGTTGATGGTGATGGTGATATTGGTGGTGTTGATGGTGGTGGTAGTAATTATGGTGGTGATGGTGTTAAAGGTGATGATGATAGAATGGTTATGGTGATAAGATAATATGGTAATTATCACCACGTGACGGCAAGTTTGGTGATAGTGACAGTGGTGTTGGTGATGAGGATAAAGGTGATTGAGGTGAGTGCTGGTGGGGATGGTGACAATGACGGTGGTGACAGCAGTGAGTATGGTAGTGGTGGGGTAGGGATGGTTATAATGCTGTGGCTGCTAGTGTTGCATTGGTGGTATCATTGATGGTGGTGATGGTGATGGTGTATGTGTAGGGATGATGAGAGTGGTGGAGATGGTAGGACAGGAGTGAGGGAGATGGTGCTGGTGGTGCCAAGGAAGGTACTGACGGTGGTGGTGGTGTTTTGTAGAGATGTTGGTGATGATGTTGGTGGTGGTATTGGTGGTGTTGATGGAGGTGGTGGTGGAGTAGGTGAGAATCTAGGTTAGTAATGCATGTCACTTCCTGGGTCAAGTTCAACATTCTGGGTCATACACGGCAGCGTCTCACCTCTATGGTCAGTGTCTTTTGGGCTTCCTTGTGGCCATTGATCCTGGCCACCTTTTTGAGTTGCTGAAGCCCTTTTTCTGGTTTGCCCATGGTAATCAGCCACCGGGCGGATTCTGGCAGCCACCTGGTAAAGAAGCAGGTGCTTGGCTGGGTCTTGGGGTGCTTCATACACACTGTGAGCTCCTCCCACATGAGGGAGGTGGGGAGGCGGTGGTGGGCAGCAGACCCTTCAGCCACAGTGGGAGCAAAGAGAAGGCAGGCATCTGCCCTGCTGCACTGCTGATGCCGGGCTGGGAGGCTGGCAGTCCCCGACGGCTGTGGAATAGAGATGAGCCCCAATACCTGGCCACCCTCTTCTTCCCCATGCCATCCCCATAGGCTTCCCTGGCTGCCAGGAGCCTGCCCATCTGAGCTGTTCATCCAGCCAGGACATCAGGCTGCCTGGCCCTGGGGGTTCCTAGAGCTAGTCACCCCTCCAGTGATTCTGGGGCCATTTCTGTGAGGGAAAAGTTATAGTGGTGACTTTTTAAAAAGAAGTGCATTTAAAACATCTCCAGTCAGAACTGAGCGGCTTTATAAAACCCATTTGCTTCTTCCTAGCTTCTCCGGGGGGCAGATGAGCAAGGGGAGGCTCCCAGAGTTTGCTCAGCCCATATGGGCTCAGCTGCATTTGCAGGGAAGCTGAGAAGAGCTTACAGAGGTAGTTTGACATGGTGGTTAAAAACAAACAAAAAACTGCATCTGGCTTCAAAACCTGCCTCTAGCTCTCACTAGCTGTGTGACTATGGGCAAGTTATTTACCCCCTCTGGGCCTCATATGAAAATGGTAGTCATGATGATAATATGGGGGAGCTCTGATGGCATAGTGCCTAAGGCACTTGATTGCTAACCAGAAGGCTGGCGGTTCAAACCCACCAGCCACTCCTCGGAAGGAAGATTGGGCAATCTACTTCTGTAGTGATACTGCCTTGGAAACCCAAGGAGGGGTTGCTATGAGTCGGATCCAACTCAATGGCAGTGAGTTTGGGCTTTTTGGTTATAATAATACCTTCTTCAGAAAATGTGTTAATATACACCGGGTGCTATGAACAACAGCACCCAGTAGGCACCCAATAATTGTGATCAAGTTGCCTCGTAGGCGTAACAATGGCACATCTCCCTCCATGCCTGCTGATTCTGTTTCTACAGCATAGCTTCACGTGGCATGGCCTTCTCGTCTGTGCTTATCGATGCATCCCCGACGCCTAAAACCCCATCTGGCAATAGCCTGAGCTCAGCGAGTATTTGGGAATGAACGAATGAGCCCTCGTTATCCTGTCTGCCCCCACAGAGGCCTCCTCTGGCCCAGGCCGACTCAGCTCTGCCTCGCAGACACAAGGTCACTTACGGGGACCTTCATTTGTTTTTGGTTCCCTGTGTGTCTTCCTCTAGTCCCCATCCAAGCAGGTATTTCCATACATCACCATCTGAGCCAGTTAGGGCCCATCCTGGCTGGATAGGAGCCCCAGGCCCCTGGCTGCCATGCCTGCCCCAGAACTCTGCAGAACTCTGAATTCCAAGGACTATCTCCCAGGAGCTCTAAGGCATTTGACTGCTAACCAGAATGTCAGCAGTTCAAACCCACCAGCTGCTCTGCAGAAGGAAGATGGGCAACCTACTTCCATAAAGATGTACCACCTGGGAAACCCAATGGGTGTCTCTCTGAGTTGGTGGCAGTGGGCTTGTTTTTTTCTTTTTGAGTCTCCCAGTGAGGCCATGCTCATGCCATCCCCCTATGTGATGTGATTCCCAGTGTCTCAGCCCCACGGCCATCAGGACCGTGGGAGTGAGGGGGCAGCCTCCCACCCTGATCCCCTCCCGTTCTGTGATGCCCACCCCAAGGGGAAAGGCGCCAGGCCCTGTACCAACCAGGTAGTCAGGAAGAAGGCAAAGAAGGGCACAGACATGGTGAGCTGGAGCATCCGCCAGTCCCGGAGCACAAAGGCCAGGCCACCCAGGGCCATCTGGCCCACACTGTAGGAGCATCCCAGTATCGTCATGGTGACAGTCCTCCTGGGGGTCGTGGTCCACTCCACCACTGAAAGGCGCATGCAGGTGAGCCCCCCCCTGCGCCCCTCCCCCCCGGCCGCAGCAGGTGAGGGACCCACTCACTGAGGTTCCCGGAGGTCAAGACGATGCCGGCCAGTGCAAACGCGCTCATGAACCGAAGGCCACAGTAGATGGCGAAACTCGGGGCAAAGACGGTGCCGGTGCCAGTCACAGCCACCTGCACGCAGCACCAGCTCAGCATTGGCATGCGCCCAAACCTGCGGCGGGAGACAAAGCTGGAGAGGTGAGGTGACCGCCTTCTGAGAGGTCCCCAGAGCCGGGGGGCTTGGTGGAGGCCCTGTGCAGGCTGGGGGCACCTCAGGACACGTTCAACAGCACAGCCTCCTGGGCACTGACAATGGCTGTGAAAGGCATCAGACACAGTCCCAGCCCGGCCCTTCTGGCTGGGCCTTGGGATGTGACATCACCTCTCTGAGCTTCAATTTCCCCATCTGCGAAACGGGGACATTCATCACGCCTCATCGGGTGGTCCACCAAAAAGCAAAGGACGCAAAGACACTGGGCCCAGAGGCAGGGTAGTGAGGGGGCTGGACACCCCTGACCTTGGGTCAGTCCTATGGGCGGTGACCAGCAATGCCAAGTAGAGCCCCAAGCTTAGCCTGGCCCCCGGACAGGCCAGGTCCATGCCGTGCTGCTGCAGCCTCCAGCCAAAAAAAAAAAAAAAAACCAGAACAAATTCACTGCAGTGGAGTAGGTCCCAAATCCTGAAAGCATTTAGAGCAGCAGCGGTGCCTGCCAGGGGCTCTGGTGGTGCAGGGATTAAGAGAGCTGGGCTGCCAAGGAGAAGGTTAAGTGGCTGGAACCACCGGTTGGAACCGGTGGTTCTGAGAAAGGTGTGGCAGTCTGTATCCATAAAGATTTAGGACGGATTAACAGGTTTAAGGCCCTAGGGGGATGGCCTCATGCCTCAGGCAGTCACCTGCCACACCCAAGGCTGGCAGTTCAAACCCACCAGCTGCTCCTGCCAGGCCATCTCTTTCTAGGAGCTCTGGTGGTGTAGTGCCTAAAGCATTGACTGCTAATCAGAAGGCTGGGGGTTCAAACCCAGCAGCCACTCCTCAGAAGGAAGGTTGGGCAATGTACTTCTGTAGTGATACTGTCTCGGAAACCCAAGGAGGGGTCGCTATGAGTAGGATCCGACTCAATGGCAGTGTGTTAACATGTTTAATTCTCAAGCCCCTTCTGGGCAGAGTTACGCTAGGATGCTGGGGCAGAAGAAGAAACCTGGAGTCTCCAGGCAGGGATTCGCTGGTGGCCATCCATCCATGCATTCAACAAAGTGTTTAATAAATGTCTACAAGGGACCAGAGACTGTAGGGTGGGGCTCCAGCAAGAAGTGGCTGTGGGCGGGCCTTCCGGGTGGGGGACGGCCACCACTGAGGTTCTGGGGTGGAGGGAGGAGGGGAAAGAGGAGGAGAGGTGTGTGTATGTTTGTGTATGTGTGTGTGTGTGTGTGTGTGTGTACCCCAGAGGAGGCCAGGGTGGCTGGGCAGAAGCAGCCAAGCGTGATGGAGAAGGCAGCCCACAGGTGGGGCAGGTACAGGAACTACTTTCAACTGGGTGCTCTCGGCACCCTGCCCCTCAGGTGCAGGACCATAGGATCCACTGAGCAGCTCCGAGAGGCACGGGCTTGTGCTGAGTGGGTATGGGGTGTGTTGGAGGAAAAGCCTGTGTGAATGCAGGGCCTGAGGGAAGAGGAACCTGGGGGCAGGAGGATTTAATTGTTGCACTGGGGTTGGGAAGGAGCTGTTTTCGGGGAGGGAGAGACTAGCGGGGAGGGTCTGGGGTAGTAGTCTGAAGGTGGGGGGTGGGGTGCTGATGACTGGATACTGACTCACAGGGGAGGGTCTGGGGTAGTAGTCTGAAGGTGGGGGGTGGGGTGCTGATGACTGGATACTGACTCACAGCGCCCTTACAGGACAGAGTAGAACTGCCCCAGCGGGTTTCCAAGGCTGTAGATCCTTACGGAAGTAGACTGCCTCATCTTTCTCCCTTGGAGCACCTGGAGGGATCGAACCACCAACCTTTTGGCTAGCAGCCGAGTGCTTACCCACAGTGCCACCACAGGGGAGACGCTTAGAGGACAGAGTCTAAGTCGATGGTGGTGACACACTGTGGGTGGCCATGGCCTGGTGACTGTGAGGAGGTGATGATGTCATTATGTGTAGAAATTGCCGAATGGTGGGTATTTAGTGTGTGTATTTTCATCGAAAATAAAATTGAAAATAGCAGCAGCGGGAGGTCTGTCTGCTGTGCCCTGGGGCCCTGGACTGGTGGTAAACGGTGGGTGCTCAGGGAAGACCGGCACGGAGGGGGAGTATGTGGAGGGCAGAGGAGGCGTGGCCTCCGGCCTGTTCCACACAGGACACGGGGCATCCGCGCAGGAGGTCCTTGGAGTCACAGGGGTGACCAGTGCACTCACTCCCAGGGCCCGTGGCCACCGGACTCGTCTGCATCTGTGTCCAGAACGTAGGTGGGCGGGGCGGGGCCACTCACCGGTCAGAGAGGAGCCCCCACACGGTGGATCCCAGCATAATCCCAACCATGTAGATGGACTGGCCCAGAGGCTGCAGATGCTGGGAATGGCATACCAGGTCCCACTGGAAGAGAGACGCGCACTGCAGCTTAGGAGGCGGGAGAGCTGGCCAGGAACACCTGGTCGGCCAGGGCCCTGGGGGTCCGACCACTGACAGTGGGGCCCCAGATTCCTAGCACCGGGCCATGAGGCAGGGGGGGGGGTCTGCTGACAGCAGGGCCTCGACTGACAGACAGCCCAACTAGTCCAGCTGGCAGAGATGCGGCACGGCCTTGCGTGTGACAGTGCGTGACAGCCGCTCATGCTCACTGGGCAGACACGCGGGGGGCGGACTCCCAGGAGCACGAAGGCGTCGGAGGAGCAGAGAGGTTAGGGGAACAAATTCTTCGTAACAAGAAGCTTGGCAGGCAGCGAGGGGGAGTGGCAGGTGATGGGGGTCAGTGGCAGACACTGGCGAACAGTAGCTGGCAGTGATGGGGAGCGGTTGGTGATGGCGGGTAGTGGTGGCCATTGGTGGCAGTGGGCGGGGTGGAGGGCAGTAGGGTACAGTAGTGGGCACTGGCCGGCAGTGGTTAAACCACAGAGTTTGAATTTTAACTCTGTTGATGACCAGCTGGGTGAACTGGCTGTCATTGCATCTCAATGAGCTTCAGCTTTCTCACTCAGAAAACAGGGGCCAAAAAACCGCTTCTCACGGGCCTGTGAGGGTGAGTGGAGGGACTGGCACATTCACCATGAATTTCCAGGGCGTCTGGCCAGTGCCTGACCACCTGGCCCCCAGGTCAGTCCTCTGAGCCCTGCCAGTTCATTGTTCTAGTCCTGCCCTGTCACCTTTTCCAACCATCCCCTGTCACAGGGCCACTGCAGTAGCCTCAGGCCGACCCCCTTACGTCTTCAGGACATTCTCCGCCCAGCAAAGGGGCCCTGTCAAAACACATAGCATTCCCATCCCTTGCTGCCCTGAAGGGGCATTTTCCTTTGGCCCTCCCACCTCCCACCACCTCAACCATGGGCTTTGACCATCTGCACCCCAGACATGCGTGTCCTCCTTCAGCTGCCCAGCCACGCTCCTCCGTGGCCCCTTTGTCCTGGCTGGGCACAATCCCATCTTCATGTGCCAGCCACCTTCCTCCCTCAGCCAGACCCTAAGGGACCCTCTAAGCCGCACCCTCTGCCTCCTCCATTCCAGGGAATGTTACCATCCTGCGCCTGATCCTGTGCCTCGAGGCAGGAAAATTGAGCAAAGGGAATCCTGGCTACTCCAAGCTGAGCACCTACCTGGACTGAGTCAGATTCCATTATGTTAGCTGTGTGTCCCAGGGCAAGTTATGTAACCTCTCTGTGCTTCCAGACATAACAGTCCCCACCTCATAAGACTGTGATGAGATTGTGACCATAGGGCAGGTATTTGAAACAATGTCTGGTATGCCAAAGGGACCAGACGAGGCTCCCCTTTGCTGTTATTACTGGTTTAGAGTTGACGGAGCCTGAATCTACCATTAGGAAGTAAACTCTTTGAATGCTCCCTGTTCATCCCTTGTAACCCCAGCCCCAGAGCCGACCTGGAGGAGGTAGGGAGGCAGTGACATATTAGCGGTCGCGGAGCCTATGGGACCCCTCTCCAGTGTTGGGGTGTCATTCTGAGGGTGGAAGGGGGCGATGGTGCACTTTGTGGGGTGAGGGTGGGGAAGGGGTGCTTACCTGGCTTATGACGGTGGACGTGAAAGTGCTATGGTTGTAAACCCAGCCGTCCAGGCATGGCTCCGTGGCGACCTCGCTCCAGTTGGCGGCCGTGGCGTTGGGGTCCAGGAGCTGCCACTGTGGGTGGCGGAAGCGGAGACACTGGTGGGGCTTCTGTCGGGGGCCGGGTGGGATGGAGACGGTCAGCAGGGACTTGAGGGAGAGGTTTGCGGGCACCTGGGAGCCGTTGTCCAGCGTGGGGGCCCAGCAGCGGTGGCCCAGGCTGGCGGCCGAGAAGTTCTCCAGAAGCAGGTTGGGGGGCACCAGGAGGGAGGGGAGTAGCAGGATGAAGACCTGCAAGATCTGGAAGCGCCCCCTGTCCCCCGCCATCTTCAAGAGCTCTGCGAACGCCATCGACAGGACTGCTGGCTCCCACGGACAGGTGAGCGCCCAGCCTGCAGCTTGGAGTCACCTGTGTCTGCAGGATGCTGGGCCACCAAGACTTCCGCCCTGGCTTGTCCGGCTAGCACTGTGTTGGGATCAGAGCCCGATAACTGGTGGAGTCAGTCTTCAAATGCCGCTGGGGCTTGGAGAAAACTCCTCCCATAGCTGTTTCCAGGCCTGTCATCTTAGATGTCCAGGTGCTGGGGTGGGGGTGGGGTAAATCCAGGAAACAAAGGTCAAAGGGCCCCATGGCCTGGCTGCTTGAGCTGCTGGCGCTCCAAGGCCCAGGGCTGTGCAGTGGGAGGGCCGGCTCTGGGTTTTCCAGCAGCCAGGCCACAGGATCAAGTCGACTGTCTTAATAAGACACAATGTGATGTTACTGAATTACAGTTGTGGAAGGAGTAACAATTTAGCCATTGGCTCCTTGAAAATGTAGTTAAAATTTAATCTCAGAGTGGGCTCCTGGTGTGGGCGCCACAGGCAGGCTGCACTTCTAGGAGTCAAGGCTTTGGACCCACTGGCTGATCTCATTCTTTAATCTTTAGACCTTTAGCACTTTTCTGGGGCCTTTTAAATCAAGAAACCATTGGCTTAACCTTGACCCACGGAGTCTACAAACCCAAGGGCTGGTGGTTCGAGCCTATCCAGGAAAAAGGCATGGTGACATGCTTCCAAAGGTCTAAACCCAAGCCCATCGCCGTGCGTCTGACCCCACGTGTTACACAGCAGGACTTCTCCAGGCGTTGGCTTGGAGGCAGTTGGTGTTGCAATGGTTCCAGACTCACTGAAGCACCGAACTTGGTAAGAGAAAGAAGGAAGAGGCGTGGGAAGTGGAACTTCAATTCTTCGGTGGTTTCTTTGCTGGTTGTTACCTGTTAAAGGCTGAAAGTTGAGAGATGGGGCACTGTGGGGGTGGGGGTGGGGGAGCCAGGCCGGTTATACAAGATGAGGGCCAGGGGGTCGGGGTCTTCCGGCTCAAGTGAGCCCCGGGGCCCAAGGCCAGGGGTGTGTGAACGGGAGAGAGTCGAGGTGTGGAGAAGAAAAGATGAGACTGGGATTTTGAAAAAGGGCTCTACCACAAGCTCGACTCTCCAGCTTGAACAAGGGAGAGAGGGCTCATGGAAGAGGCAGAGGAGGGAGGGAGGGAGCTCCATTGCTACAGCCCGTGCTGTGGGCCAGCAGCGCCTCGGCCCTGGACTGCCTCCTGGTGACACGCGGGAAGGACTCAGGCATCCATTTATGCCGTCTCTTCCCTAGCTAACCCCTGGTGAAGATCCAGCACCAACAGAAAAAGAAAGAAAGAAACCGCCGTGGAGCATAGTTTCTGCTTTGACCACGTAGGTCTCCGTCCGTCAAAACCGACCTGACGGCCTCTGGTGAACTGGTCAACGCCTGCACACGCTCACCGGGGCCGCGGGGCAACACTGGCCACGTGTTTCAGTCAAACTCTGAGGACCCGCTGAAGGGCATGCTGCATCAAGTTGGTGGTTTTGTTTCTGATTTTCCATTTTGCCACTTTAAGGAGGGGACCGTCATGCTGTTTTTAAATCACACATTTACGCACGAGGGGGATGATGATGGTGATGGTTGTTTTCATCTCACGTGCTCAGTGTGATGAACTTGCTTTGATCGAGAATCCGCTAATTCATGATCTGGGAGCTTGCGGCAGGGACAGAGCTGGGGTTTACCTCTGAACCGGATGTGATAAGCCATCTTGGAAACGGATATTTTAGAAAAATAAGTAAGTGTCCTGTGTTTACCTGCGTGTACTATAGACATGGAATGCTTCTCCTATGTAATGTTGTAAAACAAACCCACATGTGTGATGGGAATGAATGTTGGGTATCACAGAGGGTGTGTAACTCCGTCTTCAGCCAGTACTTGGTGAAAAAAGACAATACTGCCATGGAGTCAGTTACGACTCCCACTGGATTTCCAAGGCAGTAAATCTTTAATGGAAGTAGATTGCCCCATCTTCCTTCCTCAAAGCAGCTGGTAGGATTTGAACCACTGACCTTCTGGTTAGCAGCCAAATGCCTTGTCCAATACACCACCAGAGCTACTTAAATACTGGACTGCCTATGCTAAAAGGGGAAATGGGATTTGCTTGAAAGAAACACAGGCTGTTTGTTGCAATCAAGTAGCGCTGTATATAGGAAGCCTGGTGGTGCAGTGGTTAAAGTCCTAGGCTGCTAACTGAAAGGTTGCTGGTTTGAAGTCACCAGCTGCTAAACAGGGGAAAGATAGGGCAGTCAGTCTGCTTCTGTAAAGACCCACAGCCTTGGAAACCCTGCGGTGCAGTTCCACTCTGTCCTCTAGGGGCGCTGTGAGTCGGAATTGACTTGATGGCAGTGGGTGTGGTTTGGGCTTTGCTTCCATAAGGATTGACAACCTTGGAGACCCTGTGGGCAGTTCCACTGTGTCCTCTAGGGGCGCTGTGGGTCAGAAT